TTTTTTTGTACCCAAATCCTCCAAGTTGTTTAAAGATTTATGAGAAACGAAATCTAAATTTGAAATCGATTTTATATTTTGAATAACAAAAGTTGATTTGAAATTTCTAGTATTAGAATAAAATTTTTGACTACTTTTTTCTTCTTCCCGGATTTTCATTAAATCGTCCACATCCTCATTTATTTCCATCTTTGATTCGCTTAAATCGCATTGTGCCAGTAATTTTGGATTATGCTCACGAAGAAGAAAGCAGAAAATTTCTAATAAATGGAGATAAAAAGGTTCTTCATTTGGATTTGACACTATCAGGAGAAGAAGTTCCAATATCTGAGAATGTCTTAGTGCGTTTAAAACTTTATCATGAATGGTGAGATCATTATCAATTTTTTCTTCATCCTCTGGAGCTCTGGGGATTTGAAGAACATTTCGTAAAAGAGTAAGTATTCTTTCAATTTCAATAGTTTCATCTGTGGATCTTTCAATCCAATTTATTTCAATTAAATTTGTTAATTTGCAACATATTTTATTCCAAAATTCTACATCTTCAAAAGAATACTTGTAACTCTGATCATGTTCTATTAGCGTCAAATATATATGCCTGTCATTTTTATCCTGAGGAATTTCTTCGCCATAGAGTAAAGCTGCTGGAGTAGTTACATTTATGAGCAATCGAAGAGTAGCACTGAATAAGTCTGCCATGTCTGATTTGCAATTTTTAATTATATGAATTAAATGATGTTTAACAATATTTACCTCTCCCAAACACCGGCGACTAATGTGTGTGTTATCATCTCTCTTTAAAAGTCTTATTAATTCTTTAATTCCTTCAATACAATAAGGCTCCATCAAATATTCACCTTCATGTATAAAACCAAGAGAATTACAAATAACAGCTATTTTTCCTCTAATCGCAGAAGTTTTTTTTCTTACTAAATCCTCCATAGTGAGAGCTCAGTTTTAATTAATTTTAAATTATTTCACCTACACAAAAACATAAAAATATCGAAAAAAAAAATTTTTACAACATAGATGAAAGGGAATAAGTTTTAAACTAAATTTCTAATACAATCTTATAAGGTAGTTTAAATCAGAAATCAACAATGTACTCAAATTTTAATAATTACAATATTGTTAATGTAGGTTTTAAATATACATGTGTAATAATACACATAATACAAAATTTTTTTCATAACATGCATCCATTCAAAATATGATTAAATGTTTTAACACAAAAAAAAAAGTATGAATAGACAAAACTCAATTGTAAATAATTACACACCCGTACGAGTATGTACCTGTGAAATAATTACACATTTATAAAAAAATAAATTCGACGATTAATATTCAAGTAATAATGACCCACCATTTTATGGAGACTCACCGAATGAGTAATTTTTTTTCCCCCAATCTTTAAGCACATATAAATTAAAATATAAAACGGTAACAATTTAAAAAAATAAATTTTATACATGATATTAAAAATAATTTACAAATTATTTTATAGTAAAAGATTATACACTATGGTAAGACTTGTGTAATAAAAATAATAAACGTACCTGAATAAAGGACCTCCCGTTGGGTAGGCCCGAAAGTTTTGACGGAATGATGATAGAGCTTTGAAAACTTCAAAAGTAAAAATTTTTGCGGACAAGAATAAAAAAACTTTGTAAGATACAATTTGAAGTTAAATCTCAGTGGAAGCCATATTAACTTGTGAACAGTAGAAATAATTAAAACCGTCGTTTAAATGCACTTTTTCGTAAAATACTATAAAAATATTAAAAATAATAGTTAGTATTATAGCTTTATGTAAAGTATTTTTTTTAAATAAAAAAAAATTGTATTACTCGTACATTAATAATTTTCCTAATGAGCAAAATTTTTATCGTGGAAGCAGTTAACTATGATCATATTTCATAATTAACACCAAGATTTGGCACTATAGTTTAAGTAAACTTCGTTTAATTTTTTGTAATTTTTATTTCAATTCTTATTATTAAATTTTTAACTATTTAAAAAAGTATTAGGTGTTATCATTTAAAATTATAGTTACAAATTTTTATAAAGTCACAACTCTAATCATGACACTTATAAGTATCTTCAAAATGGCGAAACTACAACAAATATACTACGTAATAGCTCTTACCTAAATCATTACAGATACTTGTTTGAAAATTAAATATAAATTTTAAAAAATTGACGAATGGTTTTTGATGCATTAATACAAATATTCCAGATATGTCGGAAGAACCGTAAGTTTTATTATTATTTTTAATCTTAGTTTTTTCCCTGTGTTTTGTTTAATTTTATGGGACAATTAAATCAACTGTTTTACTTTAACATAAAAAACTTTTTTTATAAAATAGGAATTAGTATTTTTTTAAAGTATTGAAATGTATTTTCAAATTTAATTTTTTATGTATATATTAACTTTAAAGGTCTTAAACACAATTTATTTCAACAAAAATTAGCCAGAGATAATTGTAATCAAATTGTATTTTTAGGACAAATAAATTACTTTACTTAAATTTGTCAAAAAATTTTCAAACCATAAAAAAAAAAAATTAAATTAAATATTTAGCTGTTTTTGTACCAAGTGTTTGAAAAAGTCTTATTTGTTTTATAGACTTTACTAATTAAAAAAAAAAAAAAAATGAAAAATATCAATAATAAAAAATTTTTTAAACAATATTAAATATTTTTTTGCTTTATTTAAATTTCTAAATATAAATAAAAAATGTTTATTAATGTTTTATAAAATGCAATTATTTATTTTTTTCATATTATATGATGTCTTCATTTTATTAAAGTAAAATATACATTATTTTCTTTCATACTCTGTTGAAAACACTCTCTTTCCATGTCTAAAATTTTTTTGTTATTTTTCTATAATTTCATGGATTTTATTGAATTTTTCAGGCATGTAACCCAGTCAGGTCAAAAAAATGTTCCAGCTTGCAGTTGGTGGAGTCCTTGGTTAGAGGCTGCAAAATTAAAGGTTTTTAAATATAATATTATGAAAGTAAATCTTTTATATTTATTATAAATATTTTATAATGTTTTTGTTATTTTCAGTCTACTGAAGTTTTAGAATTTGTTAAAAATGACTTAAGTGAAATTTCTACTGTTGTAAAATCTGAGGCAACCTCCGTCATTAACTCCACGACTAATGTTCTTAAAGACACATTTAAGGTAAACTTGTTGAAGTATTAACTGATTAAAACAAATGTTATATTAACTTGTTTTTTTTATAATCAATATTTATTCTTAAATGCTTTGATGATATAAAATGAATGCCAATCATTTTTAAAACAGATTTAAAAAGTAAGCTCTGTATAAGGTTTCAAGAAGTGTCATATACTTAGATTCATTATTAAAATAAGTTATGTATTTCATAAAATATTAGTTAAATATTGGACTAGACTGTTATAATTCAAACACAAACATTAAAAAAATTATTCAACAAATTTAAATATTATTATTATTATTATAGATGTAATGGTCTTTTCTAAACAGTATTGTTAAAGAACCAACTGAGACATATTTTAAGATTAAAGATAAATTAGTTTTTATGCTGAATCTAATCCAATATTAAAAATAAAATGTACATGTTTAATATTTGACAAGTGTTTAAATTTAAACATGTGTATCAGTTTTTGCAAAGATTAGACTTATTGACTAATCATAACTTTTAAACTCCTTAAATTCAATTTTATTTATCGTAGTTATGAATGTCAGTTAAAGTTACTAAAAACTATTATAAACTTTTTTTAAAAATTTATGTACATATCTGACATTACAAATTTTTCTTTGTACTTAAACCACAGATATTTTCGATTATTAAATGATATTTTTTTAACTTTTAAGCGAAATATTAAATCAAGTATGTTAGCCATTACATTTGATTTTAATTTTTATATTAAAAATTTGTTTTGCAGTTAGAAGAAGCTGACAGCACTGCTAATACAATTAAGAGAAATGTATCTTCATTTTTTGGATCTGTAAGCAATGCTTTAAATCCTTTGCCAGAAGACGATGATCAGGAAGTGATGGCTATAAAAAATGACATTCCAGTTAAATTATCTCCCATTCAGGTAAATAATATTAATTTGATAATTTTTTGAATAATCGATCTTGATTGTGAGTCATGTTTGGAAAATAGTGTGTAACTCAGTAATGATAAGATATATATATATGATAAAAACACATAATTGAAAATCTCTCTCAAAAAAAAAACCCTTTATATATCTCAATCTCAAAAAGGTTTAATCGAATTGATAAATTCATGACTTTAAAAAGTTTAATCATTTTAAAAATTGATTATAATAAGATAAATAATAATAATAATAATGCTAATAATAATGTAAATTTTTTCAACATATATTTCTCGATATTAAATCAAAAAAAAAAAAAAAAAAGGGCTAATTAAAATTTCCAATAAAATGACTTGTGATCGATTGAAAAAAAAAAAAAGGAAAATAATTAGTAAATTATTTTCTGAGCATTTTTGGCCTTCTGCAAAAACAAAACAAATCAAAAAATAAGATAAGGGAAAATAATAAGGAAAAAATCATAAAAATTTATATTGCGAAAAAATTGTTAAGTGATTGATTATAAATATCACACAGGAAATTTTTAATTAGATTATCTCTATTTTAATTGTCGATTTTTTGTTTTTTTTTATTTTCTAGGTAAAAATACACAAATTGATTAAAAATCCTGATACATTTTTATTGGAAATCGAAGAGTCACTATTACCCCAATATAATTCTTGGTTAGGAATACTAGATGATCAAATAGAAACGGAAAAATTAACCAAGCAACTTGTTGCTAGTCCAGGTAAAACATATTTTTACTTTAATAAATTTAAAAGCGAAAAAATTCTTGTTGATAAAACACCTTAACGAGTGCTCCCTGATAAAGATGCCGGTATCTTTTAGGGATTGGAATGACATTTATTATTGTTTTTTTTTGATTATTTTAGCTCTTCATCAGCAATATGAATCTCTGGTTCCGGAAAAAATTAGTCACTTAACATTTTGGAAAAGATATTTATTTAGAAAAGCACTTTTGGAAGATGAAGAATCGAGAAAAGAAATTAAGAAAAAAAAAGAAAAAGAGCAAATTGACAAAGTCGAGTGGGACAAAGGTAAAATCTCTGACAATATTGAAAACAATGATTGATAACAAATTTTTATCAAAAAATAAAATAATATTTTATAAAACAAACAAAGTGAATTCACATATGCGAGATTAAATATTTAAAATTCCATTCATTTTTTTTTTTTTTTTTTTTTTTTTTTTTATTTTCAGAAGATTTTGCTCAAACTATTGAATTGTCAGAAGAGGAACAAATCAGAATATTATCAGAGTATGAAAATGAAAAAAAGAAAACAACGCCGAATGAGGATAAATTGAAAAAACATAATAAAGAAGTTATTGAAGTTACTTCGGAAGAAACAAATTTAAAAAAAGATCTTTTAACAG